AGCATGGTCTTTTTAAAAAATGTACTAGAAATTTTAAAAATTGATATTAGTTATATATCTTGGATGTTTTGAGGCTGAAAAATGTCTTGGAAACAATTTTAGTCCAATCCCTTCTGAATCAGTTCATGTTCTTTGGTCACGGGCAACACAGAAACTGATTCTGATGAAATAAAATGGAAACAATTTTATTAGAAGGATGTTAGGTAACTCGATGAATTTAACGGAGAGCCCGGCTCAGAGGAAAAGGAAAAGACATGGGACCTTTGAGTGGATCTAGGCAAGAAGAACCACTTGAGACTCTTGTCAGGATGTGGCTGCCAGGTTGATTGAGCTCCAACAACCTCCTACACCTTTGTGTTCCTTGCCTCAAGATTCAAAATCCCGGGAGAAAGGCCAGTTGGCTTAACTTCGGTCACTGACCCCCCTTTGGCTAGTGAGTCTTTGAAATCAAGTCCCACCAGGATGGCAGACAATATGGGACCCGCCATTTCCAAAAGTAGTGCTTTGGAAGTGCTGCCATCTGTGGAAGTGGAACTAGATGCTGGGTGGACCAAATCCAGCCAAAGCACTCTCATGTTCCAGGTGAGGGAAATAAAGCTCAGAGAGTGATTTTCTGCATTTCTGTCCTGGTTGGGATTAGAACTGAGACGGCTTCCTGATGTGTGTTTATTTTTAAGTCAATGTTCTCAGTTTTATTTCTTTGCGATTTTCTTTATTTTTGCCCCAGGACGCTTTCTTCACTCACAGGGAAACATGCCGGCAGCCAGGACGTAGACACACAAAGGTGGCGGTGCTTGTTTGAAGCACGGTTGGATTTCCAGCCCTTATCCTCTCAGACCTCCTATACCACCCCCTAAACTGCCTTTTGGGGTACCACTTGGATATCTCTTTCAGTCTCTTCAAACTCAAGTTATCTGAACCCAAACTCCTATTTCCCCAAACCTGTTCATCCTTTTGTGTTCCTCTCTTTAGAAATTCCAATTACCCACTCCAAAAATCTGGTTATCATCCTGTCTCCTCCCTTTCCATCACCACAACATCCACTCAGTCACCAAGTAATCGATATTTTTATCTCCTAGATACGTACTGAATCCACCTACTTCTATTTATATCCTGCCTTGCCTTGAGTTCAGCCTCCATGGCCTCTCCTCTCCAGGACACCAGAGTCTCCCTTCTCTTCTCCCTGCTCCTGGGTCTACCCTCCTGTCAGCCATTTTCTTGGATCAGGTGTGAATTTCAGAGTCACAAGCCCAAGGATGCTAAATTGAAAGTCTTTATTTTTTTATAACTTAATTTTAATTCCTGGCCCTGAGCCCTGATCCTCCCTTGTGTAAAAATCCAATCGTGTCCCTTTCAAGTAAAGTCAATCCAATTCGGTGATTTCTCAGGTTTTTCAGGATTCTAACATCCCTTCCCCTCACTCTATTTTCCTATATAGAAACAACACAGCACTGGTGCAGGGTAGAGGGGAGTAGAGTTGCTAGATTTAGCAAATAAAAATACAGGACACACTTCAACTTGAGTTTCAAAAAACAATAAACTTTTTGTGGTATAAGCATGTCCCATGCAATATTTGGGGCATACTAATACTAAAAAAATCATTCGTTGTTTATCTGATATTCAAATTTCACTGGGCATCTTGCCCAGTTTCATCTGGCAACCTCCAGGAGTGGGGGTTTACAGCATTTACTTTCAGATCTTGACCTAGGACCTTGAAATAGACACTGAATTTGCCTATCTAGTATCCATTCCTCCCTTCTTGTTTGCTAACATAACTCTAGTTTTGTTTGGGGCAGCAATGTGCCCAAGAACAGGCAGGATATTTGTTTTTCCAGTTGGCTTGCAGCGAGAGGTGGCCACGTGACACAATTCTGGCCAATGGGACCGAAGTGGAAATCCACTAGCAGTTGCAAGAATGCTTTTGTTTTCCCCAATAATAGAGGAAGACACAGCTGGTGCCACCTCACTCTCCCATTTTTTCTTGCCTTGAAGGTGGACATGATGTCTGGAGCTGGAGCAGTCCTCTCGTGACCAGCGGGGAACAAGCATGAGGGAAAGGTTAAGACAGTCCCAGAGGCATGGGCCTTGAACTTGGAGCCACTGAACCAAGGCCAGCAGCTGCCTACCTTTAGGCATCTTGTGCTGTGAGAAATAGAAACCTCTAGTCTGGAAGGCATTGCAGGGCAAGTTTTCTCTTACTTGTAGTTGAATGCATTCCTAACCTCTGGTGCTCTATACAGGTGACCATCTCTGATGCACTCAATCCATTCTTTTCTGTCAGCTCTGGAAATATGCTGACCTGACTCTTTCAGTAGCTCCCCAGGGCTTCTTATTCCAGAGTTATAGCTGTGTCCTTCTTCAGACCCCAGTGGGTAGCCCACACGACATCATTTTGGCACACATCCCCTTGCTGTGGCCAGTGACATTGTGGCAGGCGTACCAGCCCTCTCTTTCCCTTAACTTTTGTGTCACACATGGAGCCCACTAGACTATTATGGCATTCCGCCCACACCATTCAGGGGCTATGGGAAAGTATAGGGGCTGGTTCTGGTGCTCTTCTGCTGAGAATCCCTATACAGTGAATTTTGTTGCCTTTCCATGCCCTTGTGTGGGAGTGGGTGGGAGGGGGAGGAGACAGAGGACATGACCCTTCGCAGCATCTCACTGCTTCCTTCTCCGTCCTTTCCTCCTCTATCTGGACTAGAGGGCAGAAACAAACAAAAATCTGTTATTTCTTCTCTCTTCCCTATTTCAAATATTTTTGGTCTCATACAAGATGGTGGCTTTTGATCTTTTGGCCTAGGAATGTGGTTTCTTTTTTTTTTTTTGTGAGGAAGATCAGCCCTGAGCTAACATCCGATGCCAACCCTCCTCTATTTGCTGAGGAAGATTTGCCCTGGGCTAACATCTGTGCCCATCTTCCTCTACTTTATATGGGACACTGCCACAGCATGGCTTGACAAGCAGTGTGTCAGTGTGCGCCCGGGATCTGAACCCATGAACCCCAGGCTGCAGAAGCGGAGCACGCGCACTTAACTGCTGCGTCAGCAGCCGGCCCGAGGAATGTGGTTTCCTTATTCTCTGTATAGACTAGTCCTATAACAGGTGCCCTGCATCGGCTGCCAGTGGGGGAGGTTGCAGTTCAGCTGGGATACTCATTCCAGATGATTTTTCTAAAATACAATCCCCTCGAGTCATTTCCCTGACTCAAACCCCTCGATGGCTCTACTTCACTCCTGGCTTGGAATCCAAAGTTCTTACCATGGCTTTGAGGTCTTACTGATCTGAGTCCTGCCTTTTTTTTTAACTTCTCCCTTACCACTCCACTCCTCACCACTCTTTATATATTTTGTCCTATATCTAAGCTGATCCACTGAATAAGAAATTCTTGGCGGAGGAAGCCTGAGCATTTTTATTTTGTTTGCTTGTTTTTTAAACTCTATAGATCAATCTATTGCCTAGCTAGAAGTTGGGAACCAGTAGTTCAGGACTTCACATTTCCCAGAGCATTTTTATATACATAATTTTATTTTGTCTTAGGGGAATCCTGTGATATAGGTAAGGCATATATAAATATCCGCATTTTACAGATGAGGAGAAATGAGATTAAGGGAGGTTAGGTAGAACTGGGCTCAATCTCAGGTGTTCTGATAATTCTAGGCTGTTTCCACTCCACACTGAAATTTTTATTGCTAGTATTATCATATCATGTCAGTTGTTCTAAATATTTAACTGTCTCCTATATTTTCCTTAAAAAAAGAACGTAAAATAATTAGTATAAAGGTATATCACTTGGCCCGATAGCTCATTTAGTGGAATAATAGCCACTACATAGCTGTTATTCCCGTAACCCTGTTTATTTCCTGTATAGCAGTTTCCATCATCTGATATTATTTATTATTTGTTTACTTATTTGTTGGTTGTGTTCTTCCACTAGAATACAAACTTCACAAGGGCATTGAACCTGTTTGGTCTAGAACAGTGCCTGGCACTTAGTAGGAAACTCAATAGCTATTTGTTGAATAAATAAATAAATGGAATATTCATTTGTCACTTTATCTTCTTGTATATGATTTATCATTAACTTAGAAATGAAATATTAATCTAACAAATCATTAACTTAATCCTAACTGAAAACAATTTTTAAAATATATTTAGTAGTAGATTTCAATGAACATTTTCTGCATAAATGAATGAATGAATGAACGAACCACCATAACATACAGTGAAACCACTTAATATTAGAGTGCATTGTTTTGATATTAAAAGACGTGTTTAATTTTTGCTTCGCCTCTTGGTTTTTTGTTTTGTTTTATTTTGGTGGAAGCTGGTCTATCAAGTATTTTTGGATATTGTCAGTTGCTATGGTCTGAATGTTTGTGTCCCCCAAAATTCATATGTTGAAATCCTAATCCCCAAAGGTATTAGTAAATGGGACCTTTGGGAGGTGCTTGGGTCGTGAGGTGGGGAGCCCTCATGAATGGGATTAGTACCATATAAAAGAGGCACCAGAGAGATCCCTAGCCCCTTCCACTATGTGAGGACACAGCTAGAAGGCGCCACCTATGAACCAGGAAGAGGTCCCTCACCAGAAGGCGACCTTCCTGGAGATTTGACCGTGGACTTCAGCCTCCAGAATTGTGAACAACAAGTTTCTGTTATTTATAAGCTACTCAGTAATATTTTGTTATAGCAGCCTGAATGGACTAAGACATCAGTCACTAGTTTATTTGTCCTTATCAAAGGGAGCTCAGCTCCAGAACCAATATAGTATTTATAATGTAATTTCATTAAAATTACTGTATTTAGATAGCTCCCGGCTTCTTTCATTAAACTGAAGTTTGTTAAATTATAAATGTTTGAGGCAAAGATAGTTTTCGGTGCCTTCACTGAGGAAAAATAGGCAGCATAATTCAACCTTTAATTATTATAGGATGAAAACACCGCACAGATTTAAAGGATTGAAATAACGCTATGAGTGTTCTGCTTCTTATTCCCAGTTACCGGAACTCGTACAAGAAGAGCATCTGTGTGGACATGCTGCGAGATGGTTATCATAAGTCCTTTACTGAGCTCTTCTCTCTGATGGAGAAGTGGGATGCCCTGAGGGAGGCTGCGAGAGTTAGGTCCCTCTTGTGGTTGCAGAGACCCCTGGAGGAGCAGCCTGACAAGCTGGATCATTTCTACCACTACCTGACCAGGGCGGAGGCGGCTGAAAGGAAAAGTAAGTGGAGGGATTGCAGGCAGCAGCGCTGCAGAAGCCAGAATGGCGAGCGCCTGAGGGAAGATTCCAAATTGTTTCATGTATGCATTTGAAACATAAAGACAACTTAGCACAGTTCAACCTAGTCACCTAAGCATCTTGATGGAATAAATGATAGGGAACACTGAATCACAAGGCTGCCCAGACAGGATCCCCAGGGACATCCTGGTGGTGTCATTCAAGCCAGGGAAGACAATGAGTAGCACCCAATAGCATCTCCAGAACTTTCCAATGTATTAAAATCTTTTGTATAATTAATTATAAATATTTCCATAGTTCTCTTTATATATAATCTGATTACTGACTTTCACTGAAGAGATATTTTCAAAGAGTGTTATACCTTGAAAATTATACTGGTTTTTTAGTATTTATATAATGGAATTTGAAGGTTTTATCAATGAGTCCTACAGATTTCAATGAGAGAATTTTTATTAGTGAACAGTGAGAAGACATGAAAAGCCTACAATTCACAATTATGAATGAATTGTTCATTTTATATTTTCCATCACATCGTTTCTAATAAATTCGTTTTTTTGTATCCTAAACTTTTCCAGAAAGTCAATATGTTTCAACTATTGAAGAAAATATTTTAATTTCTACTATAATTATACTGATATTGTTGTCATAAATATTTCTTAGTTATGTATTAGGAATTGTTCATTTCATATAATCAAAGAAAGAAAGGAAATCCTAGAATTTGGCATGTAAGTTTGCTGTTTTGCATTATTATTTTCTTCAACTTTTTGTGTGAAAATACCATAACTCAAAAAGAGAAGTTCAGGCCCCAACATGACAAAGTCTATATTTCATTTCAGACCTTTCTATGGGGAAATAGAGTATAAGATAACTTTTTGTTACCCAGCACTACAATGGGGAAAATTGATGGGGACATGGAAACAGCCTCAGAGGGGTAGCAGAAGTCTTTCAACCTCTATAGTGGATTTAATACATATTTCCCATCATGTTGTAACCTGACTTAGAAGTATGAGACATACAAAAATCCAAACAACAACGCAAGTGACCTAGGGTGTGTGTGTGTGTGGATATAGGAGGTGATTATTTGTATTATGAAAAGTATTTAGTGGCAGGATTGACTTTAAAAATAGAGTTCTTTGGAGCAACTAGAAAGATGTACAACTATGACATACATCTACTGAGGCTTTGGGGA